CAATATTTCGAAATTTAAGGACGCTAATTTACTTAAAATGTATACACCCCGGCTTATCATGTAGCGGTAGCTTTCGGAAAGGTGGAAAACATATATTTAATACTTGCGCCGGGTATTTAATGTTCGGCTCCGCCCGAACTTAGACTTTCTTACTTGTTAAAAATTTTTTTGTTAAAGATGTTGCTCATTCTCTACATATAAAAAATTTTCGAACATATTTCCTTGTATTTGTTTACATGATCGCACAAATAATTATGAATTCTTGAAGTAGGAATTATAACTGGCATCAAACAACGGAATAAAAAGGCGATGAAAAAAGTTTCCTGATAGTATTGCGATAGTGACCACCATTCATCGATAGTGCACCGGGTGCGTGTTGCCCCAATTTTTTTAGAAGATATTTAAACATACTCACTTAACTTTGATGCGATAAAGCGACTAAATTATTCTAAAACAAAGATATGAGCGTTGTTACCTCATACACATACAAATATACTATTGACGACTTCAGCATTAGAAATAGCAAAAATGCATATAAACTAACAAAGGTAACAACTAGTGCAAATATTAGGGTATCGAGGTACAGTATAGATATAATAATATAATAACAAAAACAAATAAGTTAAGGACGAGCACACCTAAAAAGTTAAACATTGTAATAATAGAAATATTAACAAAAAACCAACAAAACCAACAACCACATGATCAAGTTTAAATAGCACTGGAACTGCTGCGCTTGATTGTAGTTGGCTTAACAAATGAAATAGTGGAAAAATGCAACAAGAATTCACAAGGCGAACTTAGAACAGTGCGTAGGCAACTGGCTAAGTCAGTGGAATCTTCGGTTCGCATCCTACTGAAAGAAGTATGATGAGGAAATGTAGTGATTTCCGAAATAGCTATCACTTCTACCATTTTTTCAAATTATTGTTGCTTTTCCACAATCAGTTTTTCATTAAAAACGGCCTCAAGCTCAATAAACATTTTTGAATTAAATTTTTTTTTCATATTTTCATAAAAAAAAATCTGGAATGATTAATTAATTTGTCAGAAACTATCAGACCTATCGGAAAGTGATGTATATACGGTCTTTGTAGAATTTTGTTAGCTTTCATTTGCCCTATTTCATATAAGATTGTTAAATTGGTTCGTAAGATATACGTGATTAAGTGTAACCACATTTTGTTTTAAGCTGAATAACGGTAAATTGAAAATATCTTGACAAATTGGGGACAAATTGAAACTATCGATAATATCGATAGTGCCATCCCTAGTTTTGCAGCTCTAGCACACAGCACAAATGCACATTTATTCCCTAAATCATAAATACATTCAGAGTCAAAAATATATTTATTCTGTAAATATGTACATTCCATCTAGAACGCACTATAGTATCGCTCGCGAGGGAGACGCGGCGTCCGCAAGGCTCGGAGGGTCATTTTCGTATTGCGCGGACTTTGGTTCGCCACAAAATGAGTCGTCCAGTCCTCACTCAGATCCCACTCGCATTGTTCCTAGTGGCATATTTGTGCCTACTTCACATGTAATCTCAGGACTAACGCAGGCGCCGCGACAAAAGGGCAGACCTCGGAAAAGGAAACCTAAGGACATTGAAGCTCTCACTGCCAATATGGGTAAATAAATGTAAAAAGCTTATATACTTACTATATACATATTACGTACCCGTTTATATTTCAAAATTGCTTAGAATATCTAATTTCTTACTAATATGTTCTTACTAGTCTCAAATATATACTAATATTCTCCCAGAAAATATAAGATCAGGAATTCGAAGTAACCAGACCGCTTATCTATGTGTTTCTGTTAGGTTTTACTCCTGTTTAGAAACCAAACGGCTCAAACGGACCAAGCAGGTCTAATATTAACAGAGCAGTTGTTGAAGGATATATAAGTTTTACAGTGACCATAAATTAAAGGGCTGCCCGAAATGATATTTGATTTTGTCGTTTGCGGTTACGGATTTATTATCTACTAGCCAATGCCCGCTTGCTTCGCGGCGCCTAAAAAAAACGTTTGCGTTGGCCAATACAAAAATAGCTTTTAAAAGCAAAAGCGGTCTGTAAAGTAAACATTTTTAGTTTAAATTGAAACGAATAAAGAGCAGAATCCCCCTCACACATAGGCCAAGAATTAATAGTAGCGCTGTGATACCGATGGTCTTATTTCCACCAGTGCCAAGCGTGCGTAATATTCTTCTATGATCTTGCAACTTCAACATTGGTACGATGTACCATGTAAGCCAATAAAAGTTCTTATAAGGAAACTAAAGAGCCCAGACGAGCGTTTTCAGTTATAGGAGGGCCAAGAGTCCTGTGAACTGGTTTCTTTGAGTCTTACTGCTGTACTAACGGCCGCCCCGAGCAATTTCGTCAATCGGAGGTAGGTGCAAGCTCGCATTTAGGGTGTACGAGCGCGTCAGGCAAAGGTGCGATTACACAATGTTGCGGTCTTTACATACATACTTAAACGAATCTTCCATTTAGCCATATGAAAAGTAAGTTCGTCCAAGATGAATATAGGGCCAAAGCAGACCAAACCTCGCGTGGGTTTCTATATATTTCGGTTGCAGCGCAATCCATTAGGTCTCTTTTCTGCAAAACCATTGCTTGTCATGAAATTATTACGCATAATGAATTTCAATCAGATTTTATAAAATATAGCGGATTAATTTTTAGGAAACGAGTTTTTCATCATACAGGTAGCTCACTTTACGAATTTGAACGAAATCGGTTAATAAATACGACTTTTATAAATAACTCTACTTCAGTGCCACCAGCGTGTTGTCTAGTAGGCTTTAATAGGACCATATATGCAAGGTATAACCTCCGACAATTTGACTAGCTTTTGAGTTTAGTCCGAACAACGAAAACGGCTATCATTTTATGTATGTATGTACATATATGTTGCAAATGAAAAAAATCATCATGAAAGTAATAAACGTTTCGAATTTGCATTAACAAAATTGGTTCATAAATAGGGCTTTTATCAGGTCCGTTTTTCGCTTATACCTTGAATTTGAATATGACTCCTGCGCCACCTAGAGGGTATATTTTTGGCAAACGTATTTCACATCATGCTGGCAGCATACGTTTTGAATTTAGAAGAAATCGGTTCATAAATACGATTTTTATAAATAACTCGACTCACGCGCAACCTAGCGGGTCTAGTTTTCGCATACATATTTCTTATCATGGAGGCATTACACGTTTTGAATTTGAACGAAATCGGTTCATAAATACGACTTTTACAAATAACTCGACCCCAGCGCCCCCTATAGATTAGAACGAACCAATACCTTTTGCTGAACCCTGTATATTTAACAAGGATCCATGGGCGTAGCCAGAACGAAACTTAATGGGGCCTATACAAAAAAAAAGTTCAAAACCAACTACTTACTTACTAAAAATTTTTTTATTATAGCTTAAAATTATTGTAACCAATAGAGCTAAATATGTTGTACAAATACACATAAACAGAAGTTCACAAAAGTTGATATAAAACCATTCATCGACTTAAATAGTTAACTTTTTACTGCGTATGCTTATTTTATGAGGAGGAATCATCGAAAGCCTAACCCCGTCAGTGTGAGACTTTAACCCAAACTAAACTTCATACCGTCATGTACCGTTCCCCTCCCGGTACCACCGTCAAGGATTTTGTCTGGATTATAACACTGTGCGACTGATAAGATTATAGACCTATTCTCTTCTTCTCTTTTTTATTATTTGGCCCTGTAATCGCCAAAGCGATTTTGGCCGAGTTCAACAAAGCCCGCCAGTCGTTTCTGTTGTGTGCCAACTGACGCCAATTGGAAATGCCAAGTGAAGCCAGAATACTTTCAGAGCTGGAGCGTCGGTGTCCATTCGGACGACATGGTCAAGCCAGTGGAGCCGCTCTATTTTAATTCACTGCACTATATCCATATCGTTACAAAGCTCATACAGCTCATCGTTCCATCGTCTACGGTACTCGCCGTCGCAAACGCGTAAAGGCCCGTAAATCTTCCGCAAAATCTTTCTCTCGAATCCTCCAAGAGCCGCCTCATCGGATGTTGTCAATGTCCACGCTTCTGCGCCATATACCAGCACGGGCATGATGAGTGACTTATAGAGTGTGGTTTTCTTACATTGAGAGAGGACTTTACTCCTGAATTGCCTACCCAGTCCAAAGTACACTGAGAAAAAACGCGTTGTAAGAATAAAAAATTTTTATTTGATTACCGTTTAACAATGTTCGTATTTAAATCAAGTGAAAAGTGTTAACAAAATGGATTTTTCCATTGTACATAAACTACGTATAATGGAAATATTCAATTCAAATACGCCCGTATTAATATGAAGCATTTTTCACTACACGGATGGCGTTTTGCACGTATTGGATGCTTTTTCATATGAAAGTATATGTATACAAAGCATGCACAGCGGTGACAATACATATACACATACACACATACATGGTATGATATAATGCACTAATCGCGCGCTGTGACGTTGATTCAAACTCAACATTTGAAAACACCTTTACATGTATGGCTGTAGCTGAGTGTGCAACGACGCTTGATACAATTGGTTGCGGCCAAGAGGGTCCGGCTTCAATTATCATCAGACGGAACATAAAATTAATTTTTTTTCTCCTTAATTACGAAAAAGCATCTGTGCACTTCACAACCACATATTTTATAACGTATATACTCAAATTCAAAACGAGTTGGGTTGGCGATCTTTCATATGCGTATTTTTTCAATTTAGCACGTCTTTTTTTAATTCTAAAATTTTTTGCCCTCAGTGTAGTACTTGTTGGCAAGAGTGATTCTTCGTTGGATTTCCATGCTGACATTATTATCGGTGTTAACGCTGGTTCCCAAGTAAACGAAATTCTCTACTTTCTCGAAATTATAACTCAACAGTGACTTGGGTGCCAAGACGCGAATGTGCTGATTGTTTGTTCGATGACAACAGATACTTCGTCTTGTCCTTGTTTACCACCAGACCTATCGCTTTGCTTCCTTGTACAACTTGGAAAAAGGCAGAAAAGACTTCGTGGTTTTTCTTACCAATGATGTCAGTGTCATCGGTATAAGTCAGCAATTGTACGCTCTTGTAGTAAATTGTTCCTGAGTGGTTGAGTTCTGCAGCTCTTATTATCTTCTCCAACATCAGATTAAAGAATTCACATGAAAGCAGTCGCCCCTTCTTAAACCTCGTTTGGTGGCGAACGGCTTGGAGAGTTTTTTCCCAATTCTGGCCGAGCTTGTGGTATTGCTCAACGTCATTTTACACAGCCGTATGAGTTTTGAGGGAACGCCAAATACATATCTGCGTATAGGCAACTATTTTTGGTGCTGTCGAAAGCGGCTTTGAAATCGACGAATAAATGGTGTGTGTCGATCCTATTCTCGCGAGTCTTTTCGAGGATTTCGCGTATTGTAAATACCTGATCTGTGGTGGATTTGCCAGGCCTAAAGCCATACTGATAAGGTCCAATCAGTTCATTGACGGTGGCATTCAGTCTTTCACACAATAGATTCGATAAGACCTTGTTAGCTATGCTTAGAGTGCTGATCCCGCGGTAATTGATACGCATAGGGGGTCGCCTTTCTTGTGGATTGGGCAGAGTGCACTTGAATTCCAGTCGTCGGGCATGTACCTTATTAGCTCTTTGCCATCGTAATTGAATAGCTCAGCTGACAGGCCGTCATCTCAAGCAGCTTTGTTACCTTTTATCAGCATAATCGCTATTCGTACTTCGTCATAGTTAGGCGCTGGGATATCGACTCCATCGTCATCGACTGGGAACTCGGGTTCGTCTTCTCCACTTCTTTTAGTGCTTCTGCCATTCCATTATTTGAGTACATTCTGCACATAGGGCACTAGGTCGCCATGGTTATTCCTACAGGAGTCTTGAATCCTTCCATAACTCGCTCAACTCTCTGCAAAAAAATTTCGGGTGTTTTTTCTGTCGGCCAGCATTTCAAGAATTTTTCTCAGCAGCTTCCTTACTTCCTTCCTCATCGTACCTGTAATGAGCGGGAAATGTAGTTCCAGTGCTCGCGTATGTCGGTTTTATCAAGAGTGCTCTCTCACAGCAGGTGTGAGTCGAGCGAATCCATTGGGCGTCTGTTTTGAATGCAGCTTTTCGTCGTTGAACTTTCAATTGCAATGTTGGGGGTCTTTTTTTGCTGCACCGAGGTGGGGTCGTATATTGGCTGCTTCAATATAGTGATGCGAGTCGATTTTTGGCCCTCGGAGTGTACGTATGTACATCTAAAACACTGGAAGCATGCCTTCCGTCTATCACAACATGCTCGATTCCCATTTTTCGATCTGGAGACACCCATGTAGCTTGATGGATCTTTTTGTGCTAGAGCCCAGTACTACATACTGCCAAGTTTCGGGATACCTCGTCCTTGTCTTCCATTGGCACATATGAGCGAGATGTTGACGAATCTCGCTTTGATGCGGATTGTGGCTAGACGTTCGTCCACTGGAGTGAATGCCCTTCTCTCTCCCACCGCAAATCCAACACGGACTTGCGTCCCTTTACGTAGCCACTGGAGTAGACGTCGCAAGACTCCACGCTTACCTTCCTCGCCCCGTCCATCGCATTTCATAGA